AGTATGTTAATTGAAAATATTGCAAAGGGGATTCTTAAGATTTGCTTGCATCCTTTGATTAAGATGATAGTTTTTGGACCCTTCATGGTAAAGGTAATTTTAATGTCAAGTCAGCGAAATTTGGTGTATTTAGAACTGAATTGTACATGTAGGAATGCATGTCCATCTAGATTGCTTTAAATGATTTCATTTCTGATGCTACAATTTTTTATCTTACCCTTAATATTATTTACTTATATTGTTTTTTGTCAATTTATAGGATTAATTATACTCATAAGGAATTTTGTGTGGGCATTGTGACATCTAGATTGCTTTGGAAAAGGATGTAAGTAACAACTTCATTGTTTAATTTTTTTATTCTTTTGGCTATTTTTTTCTAATATTGGAATGCCATGGATTGTGCTATGGATATGCTTTACATGATATTGGAGTGCTATGGATATGCTAATGGGCATAGTGAGGAGTTTTAGGGATTACATGAATCCACCACATATATGCGTGTGTGTTTGTGTTTTTCTTTCTAATTCTAATGTTAATAATCTTTATATGGTCATGAAGAATATGCTAATCCATGTGGGTTAATTCTAATGTTTATAAGATTAATTGATATTGGAGTGCCATAGGTTATTTGTTTATTTTTTTTAAATTTTTATGTTTATATTCTTTATATGATATCATATTGCCATGAGATGTGCRAACCAACATAGTGATGAGCTTTAGGGAACTTTATAAATCTGTTATATGTTTATTTATCTTTTTTTTGTTTTTTCTTAGTCTTTTTTTTTTTTGTTTTGAGAAGAATAGACCATRTGGTTTTGGTGTGTGGTCGGGTTTAACTTTCTTGATTCGCCAGGATCAGTTGCTATTGAACTGAAATACAGCTCTTAAAGCAAAATGTGAAGAAGAAAGTAAAATCTGAAATCAAAGGACCAGCTTCCTATTGGGGGTGTTATCCCAATATGAATTGTTTTTCTGGTTGTGAGTTCCAAAAGCATGTTTTCATCCAATGTGCAAAAAGGCCATAAKGTTAGGTCTGTAACCAGTCCACCCCTCCCAAGACCCTGGATAGCCATGTCCAACATTTGGTATTGGCCCTTGAGTTTGCATTCCAATATTTACTGATATACTACTTTGTCTAAAATGTATTTCATATTTTTCCAGCATTAAAATTTTACACAAGTATTTGTGCCGATGATCATTTTAAGTTTATATATCTACATATAGCATTCTTTTTGTAATTATTCTGGAGCAATGACATCATATTCTATGTTTTTTAAAAAGGAACTTCTTTCCTAATAAAATTGCTATTTCCTGGAAAACACATTTCAGAAACAGATACATTGAGACAGATCAGGAAGGTTAAGGACATTGGTTCCAGCTTAAAGAGCCAACAAACCAAATTTTAATAAAAACTAGAATCAGAAAAATGCCCCTCCCTAACCACTTGGTGGCTAAGTTGGATCTGTCCACACAATTTAATATGGCTCACCTCCAACGCCTCAAAGCTGTATAGGTAAGATATAATGAATGTCTGTCCAGAAGAATATTCACCATGTCATCTTCTTGCTTTAGTTTCTGCTGCTTGGCTTGGTGGTGCTATTTGTGCTTCAGCACCAAGAGCAACTGCAGCAGATCCTACATGTGTAAGGAGATACTCATAGATCTTCTTCCTAAGTCTGTCAATCGTCTCAGCAAGAATGCAGGGTTCTTCTTCACCATCCTTAGAAGAACCAATCTCATCTAACCAGTCATTACATTCTTGAGATGAGACAGTCTGATGCCATTGGTTGCTTGTGGAGGTCATGTAGTAAATAATCCCAGAGGAGTCATGTGCAGGAAGCTCTCAAATAACTTGGGCTGTTCCTTTTTTTTCTTTTTTCTTTTTTTTTTACTTTTTTTTTTCTAATCTGATGGGTGATTTGCATAAATTAAGCTTGTTCTTGTTCTCTAACTTGCTTTTCACTCTGCCATTCATGCGTTTGAGGTGGATCTATTTTTTTTTCCTTTTTTTAAGTGAAGTTTTGGCTCTAGAGGGAAAAGATTTTGTCCTAAACCTAGTTTTTTATTTTTTTTGCTGCAAATTGTCCTAGACTTAGTTGGTGAGTGGATTGGCCAATTGAGTAATTGAACAGTAGCTCTGATGATATAAACATGACTTCATATGTAATTTTGAGKACCACTTAACAAAAGTACTTGTGAATTAGGCTGTGGACTGCTTAGCAAATTTAGACAATGTTGCTCGAACAACCTTTGAGATGAAATGTTTCTTTCAACTAGTATATATATATATGTGTGTGTGTGTGTGTGTATTTTTTCAGGAGCCTTATCTAACATCTGTGTGTGATGATACAATTATAGTGGCTGTTTGTTCTGAATGACTACTTGATTCATGATATCTTGGATCAACAGTGTCATGTTGG